TCTTTCTTTTTTTTCCTTCTTTCTTTCCTCCCTCCCTCCCTCCTTTCCTTTTCTCCTCCGAATAAACTCATCTGGTCAGTCAGGCAATGGGATGGCAGCAGACACAATTCTAGTTCACACTTTCGGTGTTGCTATGGGCCGGGATAACCCATGGTCTACTTTTGTTACTTGAATTTAAAATATAAAAATAGATACTGTTCAACCGCCAACGTTTAGTAAAGTTTACAGGAGGGCCTTTGTTGGCTTGTCTGATATTCTATTTAATAAGCAATTAAATGTGTTTGCTTGCAGCAAGGGGAGAGGTAATTTTTCTAAAGAAATTATTTAATTTAGTAAAAATGATCCCAGCTGTTTTGACACCAGCTGCTTCTGGATGGCTGTTGAAGTAAAGGGTGGAGGTGTTGGTTGGTTATGGCTGTAATTTCAATTCCAGTTGTTGTTGTTTTTGTACTTTTGAGGTGTGTGTTTGTGTCCGAGTCGGTGTGTTGTTGGCTTTAATGTGAGTGCAAACTGTAAAGTGATATTGGATCTCAAATCTTGCAGTTCAGGTTGCGATTGTGTTGTAGCAATGCTAGAGGATACTTGATGCAAATTTTGTGTGCATGGGAGTGTGGGTCGGTGTGTAAGTGTGGGGGGGGATTGTACAGCACTGACACTGTTCCTTTGGCTATTTCTTTGAAGACCTCTAATAAAGTTAATATAATTACGCGTGCCTTGTTTTTGCTTTCTAACGGAGATATGTCTGTCTTTAATGAAAAACAAAACTTAATCTTTTTCCCCAGGCTAGCTAAGTCAGCTGAACTCAAACAAGAAGCAAATTGAGGAAGAGACAGCTGGTGAAGCGGGCTCTAAGCCAGATGTTCTCAGGATTCCTGATGTGCTAGCATGAAAAAGGTTTCCAAGTTATAAAAGTTCCACTCATTTGCGCTACTGCTTCTTCTTCCTTGGAGTGTACATCTCTAGAAAGGTGTACAGATGTGCAATTTCCAACCACGGCTTGGTAGTTTTCTTGCAGACGTTTCATTACCCAACTAGCTAACAGAATCAGTGCTAGAAAGGAGTGTTGTGTGTGTGGAGAAGAGGAGGAAGAGGAAAAGGAGGAGGAGGAAGAGGACTGTGGGGTCCTTGGTGCCCTCCGAGATTGGTGGTTTTCTTGCAGACGTTTCATTACCCTACTAAGCAACATCGTCAGTGCTAGTAGGAAGTAGGTTTTCACTGAAGATGTTGCTTAGTTTGATCATGCAACATCTGCCAAGCTCAGAGAGCTCCAAGGCCACAGCAGAAAAAGAGAAATTAGGGTTTGCTGTTAGAAGAAGCCAGGATCTTGTCAACTTGGTTCTGACGGAGTGGGGGAGCATTTCAAACGAGGTTGAGTATCCCCGTTGTTGTTGTTTTTTTTGCAGCTGATTCCTAAATTTGCAGTGGGGAACTCCTGACCACCTGTGAGCAGGTGAAGCCTCCGAGTTTCAAAGGTGCAGAAAATAAAAATAGGCAGGATCTCGGGGGAAAAGCTTAAGGGAGATCCCCCCCGCCCCCCAAAAAATCTCCTCATTCAAACACATCCCTTTTGTAAAATGAACCTTGTGAAAACAGAGGGAGGGAATTCAGAAATTGACCGTAATGAATACATTTTTCAGAGCAACCATCCCCTTTAGCCTTCAAAGGCAGGAGGTGGTGATCCCCATGCAAAGACACCCCCTCTTATTATTTTTTGGGGGGTGGGTGGGAATGCATTGTGCTCTGCAGCCCTTCTTCAACCAGATGCAACAGATCCGTAAATGGAGGGGCAAGAAACGATAACAGGCAGCTAGCAAATTGTTTGTAAACAAGGTTCCCCTTTTAAATACGATTGCACAAGGAGAGAAGCCCTTAACTGAGCACTGATGTGAATTACAAGTCTGCTCCTGATGTTTTGTTAACGCTCTGAAGCAACTGGTTTTATTTATTTAGTGCATGGCAAATACATGAACGTATAACAAGTCGCAGCTGGACTGCATTGGAGCAACTGCAAAAAAGCGACACTGTAAGTCAGCAAAATTGCCTCGGGTCAAACTTAATTTGCGGCGACTTACACATCCACGTACCCAAGATCACCCTGAATTGTTTTTCTCTCTCTTTTTTTGCTGTTGTGAAGACAACTGGGGAGTCCTGCTTAGTCAGGTGCGCCCCTCTTTGAGTCACATGCTTGTGTTCTTTTTTTATGCGCACACTTCCTTAGGCGAAGGAGGTGGCGGTGGGAACAGAGCTGTGTGTAACCATAACAGGTGTTCTCCACCTTTCCCGGAATATCCTGATTGTTTCATTTATTTTTGGGAACGAGTCCCCTTCAGGCTGCCAATGAATTCATTCTTGTTTCAATATTTATTTCTTGAATGTTAGATAGTAATTCTGTTGACATCCCTATCATATCTATTCTGGACCATGATAAATGTCTATTTGAATAAAAGGTGTATTGTTTAGTTTTGGCATTACTTTCTCTCCGTGTATCTTTTAGATTTAATTCATCAGCCATTTTAAAGTGGCCGATGAATTAATTCTTCTGCAGGAAGTCCTCGACTTACCACCACAACCGGGCCAATAAATTTCCGTTGCTAAGCGAGGCAGCTGTTAGGTGAATTTTGGCCCCCGTTTTTCCGACCTTTCTCGCTGCATTTGTTAAGCGCATCCCTGCGATCGTGAAGTCCCACGGTTGTTAAGTGAATTGGGCTTCCCCGTTTGAATTGGCTTGTCCGACGGTCACAAAAGGGGAATTACAACTGTACTGAGTACACACCAGTTGCCAACTGTCCGAGTTTTGATCATGGGACCATGGGAGGCTGAAGTTGTTCATAAGTGTGAAGAAGGGTCATCAATAGGCCACTTTTTTCAGGATCGTCATAACTTTAAAACCATCACTAAAGAAATGACTGTAAAGCCGAGGGCTACAGAGGTGGTATTCAGTCGGTTCTGACCCGTTCTGGAGAACCGGTAGCGGAAATTTTGGGTCGTTTGGAGAACCAGCAAATACTGCCCCTGACTGGCCCCGCCCCCATCTATTATCTGCCTCCTGAGTCCCAGCTGATTGGCTGGCTCTTCTTGGGTTGCCCTGCACAGGAGAACGGAGCTGGAAAGCAGGTTAGGGGGGCAGGAAGGAAGGGGGATTTTGTATATGTAATGACACTGCGACCGTCATAAATATGAACCCGTGGCCGAGCATCTGAATGTTCATCATGTGACCACAGGGAATGTTACAACAGTCAGTAAGCGGGGGAAAATATTCCAAAGTCCTTTTTTTTTTCCCCAGTGCTGTTGTAACTTAACCTGTTTTAGTCACATATCCCTTTTTTTTTCCCCCAGTGCCGGTCACTAAAGAAAACATTTGAATTCTACCTGCTTTTAGCTGGTCAGAGGACCGGTGCAGGTGGAAAGGGTTAGGAGGCTGCAAAGGTTCTCCTGACATCTGATTTTCTAAGCGGGGCCTTTTCAACGCCAGGTTCCTAGAGAGAGCGTAAATGAACAGAACGGACACCTGTCTGACCTTTTTCACTCCCTCGGCAAGGAGATAGCTGGGGGAGACAGTCTTCCGAAATGCCAGCCAACTGCCCTCGCCGAGGGAGAGCTGAGCAGGAAGAGAA